CATTTTGTTTGGGTTTACTCCCTCCGCAAGAAATCCGGTGTTTTTTCCAAAATTTTTCACTTTAGAACTTTTTTCAAAAATCAATTCATATTGAAATCAAAATTTTTCAATGTGATCATGGTGGTGAATTTGACAATAAACAATTTCACAAATTTTTTGACCAACACATTATCGTGTTCCTTTTCTCATGCCCTCGTATTTCCCAACAAAACAAGAAATCTGAATATATGATACACACTATTAACAATATCATACGTACCCTTCTTTTACATGCTCACTTACCACCGGATTTTTGGGTCGAAGCACTACATATGGCAATTCACCTACTAAACCTCACTCCCTCGACTTCCATTAATAATGAAAATACATACACTAAGCACACTCAAAAGCCACCATCCTACTCTCACCTTCGTATTTTTGATGTCTTTGCTACCCCCACATTCCCACACCACATAAACTTGCCCCATGATCCACACCTTGTATTTTTCTTGGATATCCCTCCAATCATTGTGGTTATCGGTGCTTCAATCTTGCCACACACCAAATTATAATTTGTCGCCATATTAGCTTTGATGAGAATTCTTTCCCTTATCATTCCATGACACCTGATCAACCTCCCTCCTACTCATTCCTTGATGAGTCGATTGATCAGTCTCCCATCTCTCATGAGTTTCTTACTTCCTTACCACTTTCTCTCACTACAAACGGTCCTACGGACACCATCAATATCCCCCCCTCTCACCTACGGCTGATTCACCTCATCCCCCCACTCATCTTAGCTCACCTAAGACATCTCCTGAACCTCACCCTACCCTACCACCCACTCATCCTATGGTTACTAGGGGTCGCCTAGGTATCAATAAAACCATCAATCGCCCAAATCTTCACGCCACCACAGAGTCACCCCTTCCTCGATCCCATCTTCATGCCTTTCAAGATCCAAATTGGATGATTGTCATGAAGGATGAGTTTAATGCTCTTATTTCTATTAGAACATGGGTCCTTGTTCCGAGGCCTCCTAAGGCCAATATTATGTGATCCATGTGGTTGTTTAGAAAGAAATATAAGGCTGATGGTTCTCTCGACCAATATAAGGCTCGACCGGTTGCAAATGGAAAGAACCAACGACTCGGTATTGATTGTGATGATAATTTTAGCCCGGTTGTTAAACCGGGTACTATTTGGATTGTCCTTAGCCTTGCGGTATCTCACAAATGGTACATTCATCAGTTAGACATAAAAAAATGCATTCATGCACGGTCAATAACATGAAACTGTCTACATACACCAGCCTCCAAGATTTCAGGATCTGGCTCATTCGGATTATGTCTGTCATCTGTAAAAGTCGCTTTACGGACTCAAACAAGCTCCTAGAGCTCGGTTTCAGCGTTTCGCAGCTTATTTCACTCAGATTAGTTTCACTCACAGTCGTTGCGACTCATCTTTGTTTAGTTTTCGCAGGGTTCAGAGGCAGCTTATTTACTTCTATATGTTGATGATCTCATTCTAACAGCATCTTCTGCAGAGCTTCTTCAGCATACCATTTCCCTTCTAGCCGCAGAGTTCGCCATGAAGGACTTAGGTGATCTTTCTTATTTTCTAGGTATTGCAGCAACACAAGATAAAAAGGCATTTTTCTGTCCCAAGGAAAATATGTGTTGGAACTTCTTGATAAGGAAAATATGTCTAATTGCAAACCCTGTAGACACACCGGCAGACACGCAGTCAAAACTTGACAGCGACGGAACTCCGGTCATTGATCATACCTTATACCGGAGTTTAGTAGGCGGCTTACAATACCTTAATTTCACTCACATGGATCTATCTTTCGCGGTTCAGAAGATATGCCTCTTCATGCATGACCCACGGGAACCGTATATGAATGCTTTAAAGCGTGTGCTCCGCTATGTTAGTTGTACCCTGGACTACGGGCTTCAGATTCATCCCTCCTATACTATGGGCCTTGTCGCATATTTTGATGCTAATTGGGGGGGTGTCCCTCCACACGTTGTTCCAGGAGTGGATATTGTGTCTTCCTAGGTGACAACCTCTTATCCTGGTCGTCCAAACGACAACAGACTGTCTCCCGCTCCAACGCCGAAGCAGAATACCGTGGAGTTGCAAATGTCGTGGCCGAAACATGTTGGCTTCGCAACATTCTACGTGAGCTTCACTCCCAAGTCACCAAAGCAACCATTGTCTATTGTGATAACATAAGTGCGGTTTACATGTCCTCATAAGTGCGGTTTCTATGTTCCTTCTGGCCTTTAGTATGCCGACATCTTCACCAAGGGACTTCCGACCATATTATTTAATGATGTCAGATCCAGTTTGAGTGTCCGCTCAAGACCACCCGCTCAAATTGAGGAGGCGTATTAGCATACCATGTAGGCATGTATATATTTGTTATGCAATTCGTATGTTTGTTATTAGTATAGGCCCAAAACTCTAGTTTGTATTATTCAGCCCATAATGTACTCATATTCTATATTAATGAATTCCAAGGCCAAAATCATGGGTAAATATCACGTTTTCAGAAAAGTGAGGGACTCGGTCAGAAATTAGGAGCGACTAAGGAGGTCATGAAGCAAATCAAACAAGTTGATTAGGATATGTGGACCGAGTCCTAGCTTTAGACCCGGTCAGAACCTCTATCAAACAACCCCTGAGTTGACTCATCCATACTTAACCATCACGCATTCCTTCTTATAGATGTTTGTTCTGCAAGCAATCTCAACATCTTTAATTAAAATATGCTTTGATTTCCCCATTTAATCTGTAAATAATTTTATGGAGACTTTCTCTTGAGGGTTTAAGGTTTCAATTCTTGTTGGAAACATTGATATTGTTTAGGATTTCATTAATTATCAAAGGATGAAAAGTTTGAAGGCATTCAATAGCCATATGCCAATAATCGTTATTAACCGACAAAGAAGATCCAGAATTTGCTATGATTTTCTAGATATAATCATCACTCATCCCAAAACATTTAACTGGAAAAAAAAAAACAAAAACAAAAAAGAAACAAAGAGGTGGTGTTAAGACAATTGTCTAAATAAAGGATATGAAGACATACGTGGAGAAATAGAAGTAAAAAAACAAATGAAAACAAATTAAAATTAAAAAATTAGAGTTTTCTTACTTTCTCTTTTTAGTTGTCCTTTTGCACTAAAAGGTAAGAAGTACACTGCTATTATACTCGTATTAGATACAATATATAGCTACAAAAATTGAGACTCGTATTAAATAACAGATTTTTATATGTGCATCTATCCACCAATTACTTAACCCATCTTACGCACCTATACATTTAACATGCCTTAGTATTTCCAAACTATTTTGGTTTATCTAACCATTTGTAAGCTTATTTCATAAAATGTACCTCTTTTTGTTTTTAACCAATACACTATCTATCATTTTGTATCTATAAGAAATTGATTACAAATTTGACCTCAATGTGTTGTTTTATCTTACTCAACAAATTTAACCATTTGTAAGTGTTAGGAACCGGACCGGGTACACGCAGCGGAAACACACTATCACATACACACAAACTCACGAAAATAAAGCAAGAAGAACACAAGGATTTTACGTGATTCGGATTCGGTGCAAATCCTACGTCCACGGGCTGCAACTAGAGAATTTTATTAAAACTCACAAGATTA